TATTAAAACAAACACACATGCACAAATTTCTACAAACCAATCGATACTAAGATTTTGAAGAAAACATCTTGATGAGGATTCAAATTTCACCTGTCGATACCGTGCATGCTGATGACGTAACACAGGCAGTTAATGTTTGTATCAAATAACGTCCCACTACCCGTTATTTTTCTAAGTTTTTGGTATTTTCATCAGTAAAAACACATTTTAGGGCATGTCTCAAAATTTATTCCCTCGGTCTACATTAGGTAGATGTTTCTTAAAGTGATATTTATTCTTTAAGTGACTGTAATACCTCTGAATTTTAAATATAAGTCAAAAAGCATTTTTCTAGCATTTACGACAGTACTTTAGTTTAACAACATCAACAATGAAGGCCTTTCCCATCCATGAAATATTTCTAATACAATGCATCATATTACATAAGTGGTTGACCCAACTCAACGTTTCCTGGGAAATAGACCTCTTGAATGTCCTTGGTCAAAGTACACAGTCATTCACGAATAACAGTCAAATAAACCAAATAACAGTCAAACTGAACCAAGGTCTTCAGAATGACAAGCAAATGTGCGATTCAGATACAAATTACCCATGGCGTCTGGACAACAATAGAACAGTGAGTGAGTACATGAGTGAGTGCATGAGTGAGTGAGTGAGAGTGAAATTTTAAATCAATTTTAGCAATATTTCAGCAATATCATGGACTTCATGATCAACAAAAATGGACTTCACATATTGTACTGAGGTGGGGAATCGAACCCAGGTCTTCAGAATGACAAGCAAATGCTTTAACCACAAGGCCACCTCACCACCCCTAAACTGAAAGTCAGTTCTGGTTTTGACTGTGAGGACAGCTTTTGATGTGAAGGAAATAGCCAGGGGCATTTATGACACAACAGAGGTTTGCTGTCACACTGGTACGTCGGTAACTGACATTACAGAGAGCTGTAGTCTATAACCTCTGTATTGAAATTCTACATAGCTGATTCAGGTGCCTAATACATTCCCAATTACATTATCAATGGCCAGACTTTTTAGGACACAGAACACTTAATTTTTAAAGATGATATAGCAATCAAAAGATCATAATATTATAGCTTTAAATTAGCTTTTTCATGAACTGGAGAGAAATGTTTACATTTTCTGTTGGTTTCCAATATGTAGCAAAATTATAGAATTACGAACTAGTTCAGAATGACAGCCGATGGGACTACTATCGTCAGATATTTACGTCCACAATCTGATTTAGTAGTGACAGGCTAGCGGACTACCATGAACTTCAAAGGCTGTAATGATTGGATAATGATTGGATCTGCATGAGTGTAGTGTTTAAAACCTTCCTGGAATCAAATTATTGTTATATTGTTGAGTGAAGAGGGGCCTAATTGTCTATTTCTATTAATGGTTGAGTCATAAAACCTAAGCTCGGCCTACAGCATACCTTTTTATAAGCCATTATGGCATAATTGACAGATTTACTGTCACTTGTAAAGAATGAGCAGAAAACTAGTATTCAATGGTGATACCTGGAGGCACAGATATTTGAATGTTGACCTTAGGCCACGCCCATTTGTAGTATACATTGATGCACATATAAGGACATCTGCACTCAGAGTCGATGGTTTTCTGATCAGTGGATTACAGTCTGCTGACTTCCACGGCAGATTCATTGATCTGCGTTTCATCCTTTTTGACAACACAGGTAATAACAGAAATTTCATTACATTCTTTTTTTGTCGGGATGTTTTTTTCTCGCTTTAGGTAATGACATACTTTGACTGACTGAGTTTGGTTTTACGCCGCTTTTAGCAATATTCCAGCAACATCACGGCTGGGGACACCAGAAATGGGCTTCACACATTGTGCCCATGTGGGGATTCGAAGACATACTTTGAAGACTAAATGCTAAGATGAGTCTTTGGTCAGCTAAATACAGAATGCTATTCAGAAAGTGGTCATATGTTATATTTGGCATTACATATCATATTTGGAATTGGGTGCCTGATTCTGAGAGTGTGTGTTCGAAGTTGATCTCAGATGGGACTTCTAACTTAAGTACTAGAATCTGTACTTTACCCACAAGGGTTAATCACAAATATAACATATGCTACATTTGACCACTTTCTAAATGACATTGTACATTCATAACTTTTTGCTGTGGGAGCTGTGCCACTTATTTACACTTGAGGTACACAAAGTATGTGAACTAGACTATCAGTTGTCGGACTTCCATTTTTGTTGAAGCTGTGTTAGCCTAAAGGTTTGAATGCTGACTTTGTGGGAAAACAGGTGATTAGGTGCCAGATTTTGAGAATGTTGTTTCGTATACTTAACCAAGCTCAACCTAAACAAAAGAACTAGAATCTGTACTCTACAGAGAAAGCGCAATTCCAAATATAACATATGTTACATTGGTCATTTACCTCTAATCTACAATCTATCATGATTTCTATGTGATGCTTTATTCTTCTGTACTCTACTCTGAATTTTACTGTGTTATGAGTTTTAACATGTGTATAACGTTTTCATGAAATTGGCCAAAGTATTATTACAAAGGTTTTACATAAAATGACAATGAAAGACTGTTTAGCTTAAGTTTAACGTTGGTCTTACTATCATTAAATAATGTCAATGCAAAACATGGACTTTTGTATGTTTGTACTGTTGGTATATCTAAAATATTAATAGTTTTTCTTTACAATACAAAATGGCTAGGTTTGCCACACAAACATACTGATACACTTCTGAATATGAACATTCACTATGTTGCAACACAAGCTATTTCAGCCTGATAGGACCTTTTGGGCTTTCCACTATATATGTATTTGAATCTGTGATTTAAGAATGGAACATCTGAATAGCAGAGAGTGGCTTGGCTTCCATATCTCTGGGTTGCTCCTGGAAAACAATATTGATTTTGAATTATTTTACACAGAGTACATGCAGGCTGTCACATTGTTTTCTAGACTAACAACTGATAGATCCCCATTGAAATCAGCATTGCTTCATCAAACTGCATCCATCATTTTCTAGAGGTGGCCTAAAATCCAGGGTCTGTAATGAGAGACTAATTGTTTTCCTGATAGATCCCCTTGATCAATCCCATATAAGAATAATGAAAGCTGCTTGATCAAAAATAACAACATGTATTTGAAAAAAGTATTTTAGTAAGTGAATCATGATACAGTTTTTGTGAGCTAGTGATTTATGTGCAGGATGACATATTCTGAACAGTGAATTGGATAGCATACAGCTCAGTGTAGCGAGAAGCCGGTATAATATTAAATTATTCATTGGCAGCAGCATAGAGAAATGTATACCCTAGCTACGAAAAACTTTTTCAACATGTATACATTTCAGACAGAAGGTAAAAATCACATGAACTGTTAGGTGTCCTCATAAATAAATATTTACTGATTATTCTAAACAAGAAACTCAATCGATATTTTTCACCATGGGTGTTTTACACTGTATTTCAGGCACATTTGTGTGCTAGTAGTTCACTTTAAACACATTGTAAAGAATAAAGAACCAATGTAGTCCACAATAGTATCATAGTGACTGTCAAAATGAGGTTCAAACTCAAAACACATCAATATTTGGAGTCCATGGCAAATCTATCAATTTTGACTTTTTTCACAACTAATATCGCTGAAGGGGTCGTTGTTGGAACAGGTACTAGAGATACGTACCCCAGGTACGTTTCTGTATACAGATATGTACCCTAAACAAAGTCAAAAACAGAAACGTACCCGGTACCCTAAAAGGCTGACGAGTCCATATTCCACAATCCAAAACCGAAACCGTATGTACTTGTTCCCGTTCAACTGATTCTGAGTAGTATTCATGTGCATCGCGAAATATCCGTTACTGTGTGTTCTCATTACTTACATAACGCAATCAAATGTATCTAATACAACAGTATGACAGTTCCGGTCAAGAATACGACACAATGGGAATGGAATCGTCCTAGGGTACGTTTCTGTATTCTCATTATGGCCAAGGTACGTTTCTGTATACAGAAACGTACCTGGGGTACATATCTGTAGTACCCGTGCCGACGACCCCTTCAGCATTACTGTGTGTTCTCATTACTTACATAACGCAATCAAATGTATCTAATACAACAGTATGACAGTTCCGGTCAAGAATACGACACAATGGGAATGGAATCATCCTAGGGTACGTTTCTGTATTCTCATTATGGCCAAGGTACGTTTCTGTATACAGAAACGTACCTGGGGTACATATCTGTAGTACCCCTGCCGACAACGACCCTTTCAGCACTAATATCACATAAATGATGTGCTCACACATTGGAAATGTTGTACTTTGCACACAGTTATAGACTAGTGAACTCTTAAAACATTCTCTGACTTACAGGTGAGTTATCTGTCAAAGATCCCTTGTCTGCTACCCACAAAACATTTCTTCAAAAATTTGGCAAGACAGGCGAATCAACTATTGCTTTTGGAACAATTTGCTCCTTGTAAAATAATGTCCATTTTTAAAGTTCCACAGTGATGTTTATGCGTTCTTTACTGAAACATATTTATTTCATACACATTTAAGTCTTTCTTAATTAATATAAATATAACTTATAGGCAATTATGTTGGAAGCAGATAAACAAAATCGCAATTTAATAGACAACACGTGTCGGACATTTTCAAGGGTAACATTTCCCCGTCATCTGTTTGAATAACCCTCTTCTGTGGCAATGAACCAATCAGCTTCCTTCTTAGAAAGAAATACGTGCCGGTACCATCAAAAGTATTTCAGTGTTCTTTGAAAAAAAACCAACCAATTTATCGGTTATTTGTGTTCTCACATGAAACGTACAATCACTTCTGACTGAGATTATTTTTGTCTTACTGTTTGTCAGGGGATGTGTAACTTTAACCACGCTTTTCTTTTTCTCACAGTACCACGCCTACTTACACAACAGCCAATAGAATTTGCCGTTCCATCAGAGTTGTCTCACGAGATCAAAACGAGAACGTCACACACCACTTCCTTTCTCTGCGTGCCCCGTGTGTAAGCCACATCACCGGTTGACAGACTTGAAGTGAAAATGGCTCCTAGGCGTTCCAAGAGCACCAAGAATCCACCAATTCTCAGCCATGAATTTTTTATCCAAAATCATGCTGATATTGTGTCCTGTGTTGCTATGGTCTTCGTCATCGGTCTCATGTTTCAGGTCAGTATGAAACCGATCGGATGCTTTTGCATGTGCAGCAAGTTGCATTTCGAAAGTAGATATCCATATGTTTTCCCAGGGCTCTAAATAGTTCATCAAATTTATATGTGTTTTGCATATTCTACAAGTATTCATACATTAGTGTTCGACATGTTCGTACGCGCACATCTGTGTGTTTGTGCATCCCGAATGTACTTGAATTTTTAACAGCTGTTTGCAGTCGTGTCACATGAACATTGGAAGACCTGTAATTTAGAGGCCGCGTCTTCTACTTTTAGAACTATCTTGTGAAAAGGAATGATATGATCATACGATTTTAACTTTTAAAGAATGTGTATCTGTCATAATGTTAAATAAAATATTGGTAACTGAGCATTTTGTTCTTACTGGTCGCTTGTCAAAGTAAGATTAGTGTAGGTGGAGTAGGCTAATCCCATATGGCTGAGTATAGTCCTCAGTAGAACAAGCAGTAGAATTTTTTTCATGTAAATTTAATTTGGTATCTATTTTTCTAGAATAAGAAGCGTACGTTAAATTTTAAGGATTTACTGTTTGAGGTTTACCAATGTCACTGATTACATACTTTGTCAATTAAAGGTATTACAGAACTGTAACTGTAACCTAAATTTGTGGATAACCTTGATTCGTGGATTGCGAAAATAATCATGCTATCTCGTAAATTAAGTCTCGACTGACATCACGAAGAGTTACTTTTGATGTACATACATACTCGCTGACAAAAAAGTTTCGAATCTCTGCATTACATGCAAGTACACTATATTTGTCAGGGCATTGGGATAAATAGCTCCAGATCACTAATACCACCATTACCAAATTTTATTTTTACAAAATGTCAAGTAAAAAGGAAACTGTTAGCTCCAACATTCTCACTTCTCGTTGTCTGCTTTCCTTGGTGTCAATGCTTACTGCAGTTGGATTTCGTACATAGTGGTATAAAGTAACCGACTACGTAATCCACGAAACAAGGTGACGTCACATTTTGTGGGCACGCTAATGGGTGATGATTGCAAATGGCTTCCGTAAACAAACTTTTCATTCACGAGTGGAATATTAGGCATTTTCAATTTTCTGAATCAATTAATAAAAGAATCAGTGCGTATACAAGATGAAATCATACATTTGAAATATGAATTTCACCGCACTTCCCTTATATCCACGAATCAAGGTTACGAGAGTGTACTCGAGGTGTATATAATAAAATCTTGTGTACACCCTTTTACCATGTTCACATTTATGTAAAGATGAATTCATGTTTATATAGAAAGTAAATAATCAATTTCACAGCTGTTTGCTGTTGTCTCTTGGAAAATGCATGTATTGCTTTTAAAAAATGACTATTAAGCTATTTGTGAAAGAAGCATCAAACATGTTAAATAGTTGTTTTCTCTTCAGGCAACGTCGCCCGTAGCTTCACTGTTTGTTGCCATGCAGCACAACGTAACGCAAAATGGTGAGTTATGCACATGCATTTATCATGTTTATGGTGCTAGGTGTAACATCTTTTCTAATGTTGGACACAAGTTGGTAAGACAGAACTGACTGGAATTTGAATTACATGTAAAATATTCTTTTCTTATGCATTTTGAAAGATCAGTGTTATGATTTGCATGATATTGACTGGCATTTCTATGTAAATTGTGTCCTTTTGATTTGCCTAATAAAATTTTAAGAGATAGTTTATCCTACCCTAACCCATTGCCAAAGGGCACTGTAAATTACACACTTAAAAATAATACTTCTCATCCCATGGCATGAAGATAATTGCTCTGTATTGCAGTATTAGGGCATTATTTGGTTAATCTGCCTTCAGGCTGGTTGTTGTCACCATATGCTAGTGTATCTTTTAACTCGATATGGATGTCTCGATATTTCAGATATCCCGATATAATTTCATGGTCCCAACAAGCAAAATTATCAATTTAACTCGATATTTACAAAGAAACTCGATATTCACCTACCTTTCATGGGTAAGAATCCCCTTGAACTGAGGTTGTTTCCACACGTTTTTACACATGGTGCGGCATGAATAAAAAAGATGCAGTAGTGTGAACTAATTAGGGCTAATTGAGTTGAAGGTGTCACTTTGTTTAATTAGGATTAATTAAGAAGGAATTAATTAGGAAGTACTCTGTTGCAACTAAACACTACTGATAACAGATTATAGTTTCGAATCAAAACATACTGAGAAGCGTTTTGTTTTCTTTCATAGTGGTATGTGATGATATGCCCTGGTCGGTTGTCTCGAAATTCTGATAACTCGTTATTTTTTCTTTGTCCCATGAATATCAAGACAACGGTGCTCGACTACTTTGTGTCAACAGCAAATGGATTTCCATCCGATCCAAGATTGAATTTGTTTTGTAATGGCAAACACAGATTCTGTCGTGTCAGGTTTTGTTGACATTAGTTTATCACCCAAGTCCAAATGTACAACACAATGCTGGTTGAATGATGGTGTTGATAACAGGTTTTTAATCAAAGTTCTTAGAGGTAGTTAAGAAATGGTCAGACCAGCTTTGAACCACCTGTTAAAAATGCACATCTACTGGTTGGTAGGACAGGTAGAAAGCACCTTAATATGAATGGTGTTAAATTGCAAGGTATATAAGTGAGTACCAGTACTCGTGAAATCTGCAAACGAACAGTGTGTTTGGTTTTTCTAGTTAGGTCAGATAATAACCAGTCCTGAAGTCATTTGGTTGAAAAAGTATCTGGAGCACTGTGATTATGAGGTTTACCTTTCACCTGTTTTACAAGCATGATAAGGCATGTGGAAAACTAAGTCACAGAGATAGTCATTACCAGGACTACAGGAGGGTATCCAGCCTATGCACTCATTTACTGTACAAAACCCAGATATTGTGAAATATAACAAGAATGTAGACTCAAATGTCATTCAAGATGGTTTATTTTGTTTTGCTAACCATAGCATGATTAGTCCTGATTTTGGTACATTTGTCTATAGTCATTGTCAAAATGACATGAACATATATGTATGTTTCTTCTGTGACCTTTCATACAACTTGTGATTTCTGAAGAACAAAGATAACCATTTGATCAATTTGTTACATATACTACTGAAGAAGTATGAAAACACCATATTCTTTCATATTACTAAAGTAAATCTGCCATGTCATGACATTTGTGGCTATACTAAATGTGGTGATACGAGTACAGGGATATCAGATGTTCCTTAACCCCCTGGGTGCCACAGGGACATATATGTCCTTCCCCTTCAACCCTCAATTTGAAGTACAATAAAAATCAAAATATCCCCCGCACACAAATACACTTCACAGTTTCGAATTCTGCGGGAAATCTCCTGTTTCTTGATACCATCCACTATTATTTTAGACGAAGCTCAAGTGCTGAAAATGACCTTTCAAAATAGGCTTCGTCGAAAATGTCGCCATTTTTGACACAGTACGAAATTATCATTCACAGAGTTATTTGCTGTATGTTTTGAAATGTGAAAATCTGATATTTACTGGGAGTATTGAATTTCAAAAATAACATATTCATGTGTCACTGATATCAGTTTTACATGAAATCGCTAATGATAATTCTGAAACGTTGCTGATGAATCTAGAATCGTTTGGGATGTTTTCGAAAATACACTTACACGAACGCCGTAGAGAGCTTTTCGCCATATTGGATAGTGTTTATAAAATCACGTTTCGCTAAGGCCAGTATTGAGACGCCCATTACTTAACATATATTTCATATTCAGCTTCGAAAAATGCATCACCGAAGTCCCCATACATTTTAGAATCAAATTGCAACTGGTCTTTGTCACCAATACCAATTGTCTAGATAAAATGAGACGAAACATATTGGGTGTGAAAATGAACGCTTTGCTCGAAAGACTGCGCTGGTTCAAAATGTAAACAAAGACAAATTCCGATTTTACACTGTGTAGAATTGCGATGGCTCAATACCTTTGGAATATGCATGGAAAGAGTATCGTAGCAAGAAATAGGAAATAATAAATAGATACAATGCAATGATTTGATAACTCATAAGAAATTGTCAAAGTTTCCGTGCAGCGTGACGCCACGACTGACGCAAAATCACGCAGAACGACAACTGTAATTATCAGCATTTTAGGCTTCTTCTCTTACTTACAGTGAAAATGATAAAAACATATAACAATACACAGATAGTCAGAATCATTCTGATTGCTTACATGTCATATTTATGTACAAACTATCCCTGAATCAATGGAAGGGTCCTTGCAAAATCCTGTGTATCCTTGTCAGCAAAGCCGCCATTTTGTAAGAAATAGGTCGTCGGTAGTGATGTCATACGTCAGCATTGTTGTACATATTAGGCAATTTCTTTGAGGTGAAGGTCGGTTGAACAAGAGTAAACACAATCCTTCGCCTAATCCTTCCTATTACACTGTCAGTTTTATGACGTATATTTTGTGGGATAGTTCAGATACTTTTTCATGAAACTGACTTCAGTATCTACATTTAGCCTTGTCCAATATCATATCATACGTGCATATAGGGTTTACGGTGTTTTATTCTTTGAAAGTTTTTGATTGTTTGAATAATATTTACATAAGAAATTGACACATTTAGTGCAGTACACCATATTCTAAACCAGTGTTTCCGCTGACTAAATTATTTATCGGACACTGTGTCTGGCAACCTAAAATTTTACCGGTCATGAATGAAATTTGCCGGTCATATCCTATTACCATACTGTAAGTACTCATTTTAAAGTTATTTATAGCCTGGGTATTTCCGAAACATAATTTTTTTTGCGACCTTGAAAGCACAGCCAAGACAGTGATTTCGCTTACCCATGATTTTTTTATATTAATACATGCTTATTTACCGGACACAGTGTCCGTCTGGCTTTCAATTTACCGGTCCCCACCAAATTTTACCGGCGATTTTCAGGTATATACCGGGAACGGAAATACTTTAAACCTTTACACAAGTGTTAGAAGATCAAACGTAGCCATAACTGCAACCACTTTAATTCCCATGATGTACAATATTCAATGCATTTGGACTAATATTGCAGTTTCACATGAACAGGTTAATGAACGGCGATTTAATTCAACCTTATGATTAAAACTGATAAACATTTAATGAACATGATTTATGTTTGTTATAAAATGTATATGCACACATATTTAAAGGAATTTTCTTGTTCATTGCACATTTTTGTGTCTTTTTATAGAGAAAACAATGATATAAATTGATTGGCAAGGTGCGCTTTTGTTGGAAACGTTTTATGATTCACTATCATTGTTTTTGATAATATAATCAATTCATATTCGATTTAAAAATATTGTGGTAACAGGATATCAAACTCTAACTATATTTATACGAAAATTGTTTAAAAATATACAAACCATGTCATGTCTTAATTTGGACAAATCTTATATCCATATTCTAACATATAGTACGTACTAGTTCCATATATAAAACGCTATCTTATTGCATCTTCCATTGCATACTTATGAAGAGAAATAGCTACATATCATAAACAAAGACAATTCTTATCCTAAACAAAATATTCTGGTGTTGTGAAATGTTATTTTTTCATTTACGTTAAATTGATGCCAAACAGGTGCGCGTGTGGCTCACAAAAAGATACACAGTCAAACTGTCTAATTGTTGATATATTCAGGACACTATTTAAATGGAAAAATCAGTCATTATATGTTTGTCTAAAGAGTGTTAAATTCTGACATAGAAGCCGAGACCTTTCACACAATTAATGGAAATTAGGTGAGATATATACTAATCAGCATACCAATGGTGTCTTTTTCAACGTCGCAAAATGCATAAAACAAGCAATGACGTCAACTAAAATGTATTATTTTCAGCAATTTCATTACATTTGATGATATGGCTAGTACTCTGGTAATAACGATGCAAAATTAGTCAAAATACATCTACACAAACAGGATAATATGGGAATCAAAGGACTAACTTATATATCAGGGGGATAATATGGAATCAAAGGACTAACTTATATATTGGATAGGGCCATCCAAATCGCTATTACCTGCTTTCACATGTAGTACGTTGTCATCTTTTTTTATAAATTGTGAAACTACCAAAGCGTATCCGCTCACATTCGGGAACTTTGATTTGGAATAGTTTGGTTCACCGTAAACAAAAAATAACGAACATATAGCATCCGTATCCACAACAAATACTCTCCATGTGATTGACCTAGTGTTAAGCATAACAGAGTTATGCCCCCTTATCATTATATGTGTATGACCTCTCTGTCGTCGTTTGACGTTGTAGAAGAAGCGCTTTGAGCATATCCCTATGACGTGGAAAGGCGCTATATAAATGGCCTATTATTATTATTATAAGAAAATCCATTTTTGACATTTATTGCGAGTCAGTTTTAATGTTGAGCGTTCAGATATCAGGCTGTATTTTCTTTGCTCACACTTTCCGTAAAGATGCCAAATTAAAAAATTCGTAGCACAGTGCTTTTATCGGTGCGCGATAAAAAGCGGAGAAATTTACTGTTTTTTAACGCATAAAAAACTTTTGGGACAACATTTAGCAAGGTCTATTTCTCAAACCGAGGAGGTAGTTGCACTTATATTTATACCAACGGATAGGAAATTTAATATTCTACATTTCTGTGTAATTTTATAGCCGTATGTTGATCCAGGACCACGCGAGCGCAATTCACGCACAACGCTCACTTTTCAAACCGTATGAATATGTGCGCCTGAAAATAAACTCGGCATCCAGGGGGTTAACTTCTTTTTAGTAGTACATAATGGCACACCATATTGGAAAACGGTGGGACTTTGTCATCCTAAATTATGGGGTGCCAGGAGATATTCTCATATTCAACGCAATAAACGTATCACCATTAGAATCTGGCTGGCCATGAATATGGGATTTCTGTGAAATGTACATTTGAACTGTTTAACAAGAGTCTATCTACAGCACTTTCAGATCTGTAGTATACTCATGCACAGTTTTTTTTCGTATTTCCACATACTTATGCAATATTGTCAACAAGGAAAAGTCATGCAGGCACTGACTCTATGATTGTGTATTAGCGAGGTAATAGATACCATTTTCTATTGATTAATGGCTTTTGTTTTCAGACACAGAGGATTCTGATTTCTCCCTGTATACATATGGAACCAAGGACATGTTCGCTGTGTTCTTTTACTTCCTCATCTGCATTGTGATCCATGCCGTCATCCAGGAATACATCCTTGATGTAAGAAGCCCCGTTGGCATGGTTACTTTGTTGATAAACTTAAGTGCCTACCATGAGCAAAAATAATATTTTGTCATAGATAGTTATCAAATTTATGTATTTATTTAAATATGTACAGTATGAACATCGTGGAAGTTATCTTGTTGCTTTAATGTTGTTTTTGAAGCTGAATGGGGTATTTTAGGTTATTTTATGGCATTAAAACTCCTTAAAAGGGAGATAATTTACTGCAGCTATACCTGAACAAGTCAAATTGAAGGAACCGAGCTGGTGAGAGTTGGTATTTTGGGGCACAGTGGGCGAGCTGGATAAAGTGCCAGGCTAGTGATCCAGCAAGATTGAGATGTCGGGATCGAGCCCACTTGTGACCGGGTGTAAAAACCTTGGAGTCAACTTTGCAGATGTGCAGACTCTTCCAGTGTTGTCACAGTACAGTACACAATCCCTGGTGTACAGTACACAACCCCTAGTGTACAGTACACAAGCCCTGGTATATAGTACACAATCCCTGGTGTACAGTACACATCCCTGTGCACTTAAAAGAGCCCACGAATCCATTGGTATATGACCAGATGGTGGCCACATGAATACGTGCAAACACCTAGTTGCGGGTACAGCAATGTGCAGGAATCTTGGACAAAGTACTGCGACTATATGTCCCAGTCCACCCAGCTGTGAATGGGTACCTCGTTAGGATGAGAAAGCAGCAATAACTTGGTGCGCCTTGTGGCTGCAAGCGTTGTATGCTCCTGGGGAGTTGAGATTGATAATACGATGTGCCGTTGAGATTGAAATCCAATGATGAAGGGGAAAAATACCAGCGCCTTGAGCATGTACTAGTTGCGTGGATATGTGCGCTATATAAATATCCTATAATAATAATAATAATAAATAAATAATATTTTGGCATTCTAGAGTCTTTTCAGGATTTCATTATATTTTTATGTGATTATTAATTACGAAAATTTTTTCTCGACAGTTCTCTCATTAACCAATCTTGAGCCTTGTTCTTTTGTTTTTTTAAAAATCTCTTCTTACTTGTGAAGAAGTTGATTTTTGTCATGCGGTTAACCATGTAATTTTGTGTTTTGCAGAAAATGAATCGCAAAATGCATCTGTCAAAAGTAAAGCACAGCCTTTTCAACGAGTCCGGTCAGCTATTGTCATTCTACCTGGTGTCAGCTGTTTGGGGAGCAGACATTATACTGAGAGTGAGTCAACATTCTCCAGTCAATTTTTAAGTTGTATGCACTATGCTGTTAAAAGGTGTGATATCAGGGGCGGATACAGCTTTTTGAGAAAGGAGGGGTGCACACTGTTGAGAAGGGGGTTTGCACACTTTATTTTCACGAGCGTTTCAATGGTCATTTAATAAAATTTCAGGACAAAGGGGGTGGGGTCATCCTGGACATCCTTTTATATCTTTGACAAATGTGGAGATGTTATGATCACATTTTTAAGACAGTCAATCATTGTCCTAAAGTTTGGACTGACAATGTGAACATGTTTTAATATGCTTTATGCAAAATGCATAATAAACAGCATTTAATATTAAGTTTTTGTTCCAGGAAAGTTATGTGACAAATATAAACCAGTTATGGGAAGAGTATCCGCATTCACAACTACCGTAAGTAACACTTGACACCTGGTGGCTGGTGATGCATTTTATATGTCAAACAGAAATAACTAATTATATTCAAGCAGCATATGTAAAGACAATTGATTGTTCAAAGGCGTTTGCAATGATTGAGCTTAAAACTACAGATTATTCATAACTTTTTAGATAAATACTAATTATCTCATATCTCAAATTAGTTTGAACTGATCTCAAAAGTTATAATGATTATCATGATAATCCATGATCATTATTATGCTTATCAGTCCACTGTTTCCATGGGTTTTTTCTTACCCCCAAAATATTTTCATTTTCCAGATTCATCGTGAAATTTTATTTCATCATTCAAGTAAGTTGTTTTACATGTCCTTGTGATGTGACTTCTTGTAATCTTCTTGATGAAAAGTTTGAATCACTCAGTATGTTTAATCATCAAACATTGGATTAATTAAGCTGGAGAGCTCCTTGTTCTTTATTCATTATAAAGTTTTGACAAAACTGGCATGTCATTTTCAGATTTCCTACTGGTTACATTGCTACCCAGAGCTTTACTTCCAAAAGACGAAGAGGGTATGTTTGTTATTTTTACAAAGAATTTGTCTAATTTAACCAAAACATTGCATTACAGTATTTTGCTGTATTTTTGGAGCTGAAATGTTCACGTGTGATTGACACTGACTGTACATGCAGATGCTATTTTTATATCAGTAACTACATCTCTGTTGTCAGAAGATGCCATTGTGTCGTCATGGCTACAGGGGAGATAACATGACAGAAAATCTGCATTAGTGCTGTTTTGTCATTCAAATTTCAAAGGGAAACATGTAAATGAATTTCTGTATAAACTTCAAGTTAAACATTATGTACAGAGTATCAAAGTTTGTTAAATAGTCTTCATTCAGTATTGTTCAGCCCTAATAATTGGACAACAGAATGAAACAGTTACTTCCCCTTACATCGTATGTCCTACCATTATCTTAATACAGAAATTGTGTTCTCTCTGGGCATAATTGTTGATGGGAATCACAGATAACTTAGCAAACTTTGACGTATTGCCAACTCTCCTCTTTCTGGACATGTTTATCATCCGAAATGTGTCTGTGTTTCAGGATGAGATGGGTTCGCGTATCCAGTATGCCACTATGTACTTGCTCTTCATCACTGTGGCCTATGTGCTCAAGTAAGTCTTGAGTAGTCTCTTAGTCCTGGTGGGGTAGCCTTGTGGTTAGAGTGTTTGCTCGTCACGCAGAAGACCCTAATATTGTTATACATAAAGTGTGCATGGAGTAATTATTACTTCTGTAAGAGTTTCTAAATATCATGGGTGGTGGGGTAGCCTTGTGGTTAAAGTGTTTGCTCATCACGCAGAAGACCCTAATACAGTCGGACCCCGTATATCCGGAAACACCCCGCCTTCCGGACGATTTTTAGGTGAAACGAAACTTGCCTTCAGTAATTGTACTCGCTTAGCCGGACCCTGCGCTTCCGGACCATCACGGAGAAGTTTCAAACCATTCCCATAGATTTCCATTTAAAAATGATCCAGTTATCCGGACGGAAAGATCTGGGCACATGTGCATGTGTACATGTATGTTTCACGTCAGTATTGTTTACCGGATGACTAAGTGTATTCATTGTTAATCTCTCGGCAGGCGTTTGCTGTGAATTGAGTACCAATCAAAACACTAGGGACCCGTGTTAATCTCTCGGCAGGCGTTTGCTGTGAATTGATTACTTACCCATCAAAACACTAGGGACTCGTGTCACTTCAGTTGTGGCGGGTGTGAGAACATCACATCAGTAACAAAAACACATGTTAATTAGGATTAGGATTAAGCTGAGCCGCGGAATTTGATGCAGCAGTTACCACGAAGTGACGGCGACAAAGTCCCAACTGCTGAACAGTACGTTGATGAAGATACTGTCGTGGAAACTGGCCATGAGCTAACTGATAAAGAAGTCATCAACAGAGTGCAGACCGACAGACGACCAGTCAGATGATGATGAACAACAAGCAGTTGTTATGCTAACGGTCTGTTGACCTTCTACGAATGAACTGGAGACGAAGGTTCAGTGAATTTATTGATGGACTTGGTGAAGTGATTTGAAGAAATGAAACCAAGGAAGCAGACACCTATCACGGACTTTTTAAGGAAATAATGTGCTACATGTGATATATGATATCGAGTCAAGTAAGATGTGCTATGTAAAATGTATAATGTGAATCAACGTGCTGAAAGAAAGTTTATTGGTGTGATATTGAATATGGTATTGTTATGATTATATGTTTTTGACTATTGACTTATTGATATACATACATGAATAAATTTTCAATATACATTGTCAGTGCGTTTTGCTTGTTTGATCCCGTTAACCGGATGCCTCGCTATCCGGGCGATTTCCGAGTGTAACCAAAATGTCCGGATAAACAGGGTTCGACTGTATTGTTATACATAAAGTGTGCATGGAGTAATTATTACCTCTGTAAGAGTTTCTAAGTATCATGGGTGGTGGGGTAGCCTTGTGGTTAAAGTGTGTATGCTTGTCATGCCGAAGGCCTGGGTTCGATTCCTCACATGGTTATAATGTGTGATGCCCATTTCTGGTGTCCCCCATTGTGATATTGCTAAAAGCGGCTTAAAACCAAACTCACACACTCCCTTAGTTCTGGCCCAGGTTCATGGGACTAATTCTCAGGAAGGAGAGTATATTACTGACTGCATTGTTGGCATCTCTGGCCCTTTGACCTGTGACCAATTCAACTGAAATTTAAAAGGTACAAATTTGTTATCATATTGCCCTATCCTACCTTTTGTTGTGTTGAAACAAGTATAATATTCTTGTCTGTTCCACAGCTTCAGCCGAGTGGCGCTGTGCATGCTGGTCCTACACTACGCTGTGGAGTTTGTTTTCCATGTGGCACGCCTCCTCTACTTTGCTGAGAAAACAGAATTTGCTAACACTGGGTATGTTTAACATACTATCATAAAGAGAAAGTCTGTTCCGGCGCCACAGGGAACTGCTACAGATTAAATAATCTTCACAAACACTATGACATGGATCCTTTTTATATCATGCATAATCCGTAAGCAAGTGGGTCCATCAAGAATTCTATCACACTCTGCAGAACGCAAAACATGCAACTTTTCTTATCTACTGTTAATATTAACATGATAAATAAGAAAGTGTAATAGCTTGTCAAATTTGATCATATCATCTTGATGTCCACATGTAAACAGCCTCCCATGTTTTTATGTTCTCTTCCAAACATCAGATCAGAATTATTTTGTTTCAGATTCATGATATTTAACGTTTTGTTTGTGCTGGTACGGCTTGGTTCCATAACTTTGGCTGTTCTCACTTTCTGGTAAGTCTACTCTGCCTAAACCATGGTGTCCTCACCCCATCAGCTCTTGACTGTGAAGACTGGTTGTTTTATTGCGTCAACATCTCATTGCAAATCTTTTTTATGGGTTTCTTGTCTGAAAGTAATCTGTCCAAATCACTACATTAGAATGGTTATCTTTGAAAACAATAAAGCAGACTTCTTGTTGTTACAAGGTGTTAATACCGCAGTGTTCTTCTGTTCTGTTTTCAGGTACGGCCTGGAGCAAAGTAGCCAGGACACTCTGGATCCCGCAAATGGAAACTTTAATACTAAAATAATCAGGTACATTGTCATCAACTTACAGCATGCCAACATTTATTGGTAGTCTTTGTAGTGTTATGTCCTGAGCTCTTTGATGTCTCCCCATGGGGCTTTGATTGGTAGGAGGTGACTATTACAAAAAGATTAGGTGGTGATAGTACGGATTGTACCCCATATATGTCGATTCACTCTTATTACGTTTGTCAGTATTATACCCATGCTATGGCTTTATCATGATTCACCAATGTTTTCAATGTCAGTCATGCATCGTTCTGGGCTCTTTCCACGCTGAGCTTCTATTCCATGATCTGACTAAAATACTGTTCAACGCAGTATCAAACATGTTGAACCAAACTCACTGAGTATTAAGGCAATATGAAATGTGTGATATTAAATACACTGTAAGGTACATTAGTGGGCTATTTGTTTGCTGACAAGCTGGTATTTGTTTGTATGATTGTCATAGTGAGTCTTGCAATTGTCATGGTGTATTGTGTGTTTAGGATCAACTGTCTGGCAGCCGTGTGCATCCTGCAGGCCTGGATGATGTGGAACTTCATCACCTTCCACCTGCGCATAAGCTTGCAATTGTCATGAGAAAGAGTGCTGCCGCCAAGAAGACGAGATCACCAAGCAAGAAGAAGGTTAAAGGTACAGTAAAGTTAAAATAACTGATTGTTCTCAGGTGTAAAATAGTGAGTCCTCCGTGGTGTAGCGTCTGGCATTAATGGGTACAACAAGGACTGTGTGTTTAGGATCAACTCGGCAGCTCGAGTCAGTATAATGTGTCTGAGTGGGGTATTCATGCTTCACTCGCGGCATGGTATCTCAGTGGGCTAGCACTATAAAACCAGCTTAAGTCTGTGCTAGTACAAGCAGCCGCGAGATGCACATACACACGCATGCATCGGGCCATATGAGCTGGAAATATTCTCAAGCACGACGATAAACCAAATTTCACCTCACCTCTCAGGTGTAAAATTGAAGTTTGTGAGAGTGGTCCTACTGAGGGGACCCAGAACAGGTTTACTGGAAGAGTTGTAACGGTCAACTGAAGAATATGTAGATGGTGTGTTCTCAGATGCATTATGTCGTGTAAACTCTTATTATGACTACTTGATTGATTGGTTTACTCAAATTGTCAGTGTGAATGTTCACAATGGTAATTGGGGTGATGAGGTAGCCTAGTGGTTAAAGCAATCGATTTCCCGGTTTGATTCCCCACATGGTTACTTTGTGTGAAGCCCATTTCTGGTGTCCCCTGCCTTGATTTTGCTTGAATAATGCTAAAAGTGGCGTAAAACCATATTTGCTCACTCACAATGGTAATCATTGCTGATGGCCTTAAGATCTTCCGTCAATAACAGCCAGCATGTGAACTCAAATCTGTTGTTTTATCAATTTGACCATGACACAGTGACTTCAGAATTGTGTTAAATGGTACTCATTATACTATTTCACGAATCAGAGTGGTCAATGCAAGTTCATTTGATATCTGAAAATAATATCCTTGAAACATTAACATGATTTAAGTTGCACTTTTTCACACAAATTCTTCGTCTTTCAAAGTATTTGCTTTCTGTTTTTCAGCTCTTGATGAGGATTTCAGTGCCCTGCCTGAGGTGGACCAGAACAATGCCACAGAAAATGGATCAGTGCGCAACCGCTCCAAGTCTAAGAAGGGACAGTAATTGACTGATGTGCTGTGTTGTTGATAATTGGTCGACAAGTTAGAAAGTCTGCTCTTTTCTTCATTTTACCTCGTTTAACCTTGTGAGATGTAAGCTATCTGAAGCCTTGATTCCTTCTGTTGTTAGGGAACTGTCTTGTTCTGACTCTTGACCAGTTATCAGTGACACTCTAGTCAATGACTGACGGTATTTTATTTTATAATGGTGGAGATTTCATTGTGTCTAAATGTTAATCTGCTACGTGGTTTTGGGTGAATGGTTCCATCTGTTCTGTATTGTAAGCACAAAACATTGGCCTCATCTGGTGTGCATGGAACAGTTACACACAGAGGATTCTCATCACAGTGTAGTTGTGCACTTACTTTAAGTGATTGGCTGCCATCTCGATGATAGCAAATATACTCACAACATTCAAAGCTCAAGCAAGTTGTCCTGCACCACCAACTAGGAACACTGTTTAGAAACTTCTACCATTTCAATGACGGGTTCAATGATCATTTCAAAACTGAATTGGTAGCGCACGTTTAAATCACATTTAAATGTATTCCATCCTCTGGCTCAAGTTGTATGGTATCCATCAAACTGACGCTAACTGCGTGCTGATTTCATTAGAAGGCCAGATGATTATTGTATTTCTGTGTATTATAGATACCCTGACTTGTTTTAAAATAAAATTCAGAAATAACAAATTGGAGACATTTTCTTTTATCTTTCACAGAACACACAAAAATGTAAATCTATTTCTCATTGAAAGGGAAGCATCTCTTCTGTTATCGTCACATGCCGTCTACAGAAGTGTTAAGTTCTTTGGACGTCTGTTATGTCTAATTCAACTGAATTAGGTCTTATACACTTTTGTTCATAGTAGGAAAACGGCATCTAGTCAAAACAGGTTGCAGTTTGTGAGTTTTGTCTTTTTGTGGGGTTCTCGTTTGTTTTGCATAATGTTGACAAAGTGCTTTAGCCGACTGTTAACGAAACGGAACAGCTTTCCAATTTAGGAAATAGCTGAAATGAACCTCACTGTGTCAGATGATGATTTGTCTTTGCATTAATAGCCAAATGCCAAGGTCAGAAAAAATTTATTGTTTATTTTCCTTTTCCCATCCTGCCAATTTGGTCCAAAGAATCTATAATATGAATAAAAATAATTGGTCTGGTCTTATTGCCTCTGTTCAACACAGAAACTAATTACTATATATACACTGGCAGAAAATGAGTGTTTAATCAAACTACTAGTATCAGCACAAACATTGGACTTGCTAGCTGACGTCTGCTTGTGCTGGTGTCTGTCAGCATATTTCTCATTACAGAGATCTGATACCATAGTGAACTTCTGATTGATTTGAAACATGGTATATGATATTTGAGTCAGTAAGTCCTGCTCAAGTAGCACCTGTCGAGCTTTGTGCCTGTTTTTTCAATGATTTTTTCAAATCTGGTTGTCATGGTTTCATTATGATTGTGTCATACAGATTATGTTGGAGCACGTCAGGTCTTAAGATGTATGTGTGTGAAAGCGTGCATTGAAGAAATACCAGATCTTTTAAATGATCTCCCACCCCATGCATAAATACAATTCATTTAATCATTTTTTGTTCAAATATAGTACTAGCAATATAGGAAAATAGTTGTATCATCCTCGACACCCAGGGTTGTTGTTTTTCCCCATGTGCTGCGGCCCTTGTCCTGAGACAACTAGAAATCTACCTGTTTTCCACAGATCCATGTAGTTACTCTTTATATGGCAGAATTTTGTCAAAGTAAGCTGTCAACAAGATTTAGTTGTATTTAACATAGAAACCTTCAATAACCAGAGGAAACTGGACATGTTTGTTTTGGACTGTTCACGACAGGTTGATCAGTTATTTTCCAGAGGTTTTGTATGTGGAGAAAGACGCTTGGGTGTCAGGTATGAAACTGCAGATGCTTGATTTAACCGAGACATCCGTTTGTCAGATGCTTTGGTATAGTGATGGTGTATGGTTATCTAACAGTGTCTAAATCGTCAATCACTAGCTGTACATTGAGGCTTTCATTATCCAACCTTGTACAATTGTTGGAATCTTGTTTTGGACATTTTGTGGACAAACGGAAGTTAACAAATCATGGTCTATTACACCTCAAAATGATGTGAATTACTAAAACTGACCTTAGGCTGAGGCAGGTTGAAGGGACCTCAATGATCTGATGAATATTCTCCCATGTGATGAGGCCATACTGTAACATGGCAACTCGGCATTGCATATCTGAATGCTTACAAGCTCCATAACTGTGCTGTTTCATCTGCCACTATTCATGTTATGACATCTATGGTATGTGTTGTTAATGTGGCACCGATACATTATTTTCCTGGATATTTTGCCATGTAACTCATGAGATAAGTTGTTGTCATATTTCTATTATACATACTGTTCATTGTTTAAAGGACATATGATTCATTGTTGAGAGTTGTATGTCTACAACTATTGAAGATTTAGAGAAAAGGTTCAGTCAGTTAGTTGTTGTACAGCTCTATTTTCCCAATTTTAATAACTATCTTGGATGTTTGTTTGAATGAATATCATGTTCATTAAGAAGAAACTTATGTTAATATACAAGGATATTTACTTGACTGCAGCAGATGTATTTTGATATTGTTTTTTATGACATGACATCTAGTCTTTAGTTTTTGTCAATCATGTCATTTTTGAGATGTACAATAATTTTGTAACGAGAACCATGATTTACTTCCATTACATTAGGGGCGGTGGGGTAGCCTAGTGGTTAAAGCGTTCACTCGTCACGCCGAAGGCCCGGGTTCGAATCCCCACATGGGTACAATGTGTGAAGCCCATTTCTTGTGTCCCCCGTCGTGATATTGCTGGAATATTGCTAAAAACGGCGGAAAACCATACTCAGTCAGTCAGTCATTACATTAAGTTGTGATCTTCATGAGCCGTTTGAATGATCTTAGAGGGTGTTCTCTTTGCATTCAAACAGTCTAGACTAAGATGGCCGATATGTTAGTAGTTCCAACTTCTCGGATTAGGTATGTTCGTGTCTTGATGCTTCATTGAGTGATTCTGCTGAACTGTTTGTGGGTGGACTACGTGAATGCATTAGTTACTGGACTCGGATTTCTTGGAACATCTTGTGAAATAGCACCTTGATTCCATGTCAAAATAATGGGCCAGATTAATATTATTTCTTGTACCTTGTGTTTTTGTTAAAATCTTAATTTAGAATTATTTGGTAAACAAAATTCTGAACTCTTGAAGGCATTTGTTAAACCCTTGTGACAAGGAAAAATAGATGATGCTAAGTTCTGTGGGTTCTCTTTGTTAAGGCATGTACTTGATGCAACTATCGCTCCACTACAAAAGTATTTTCATCAGTGTAGAATACATCAAGATTCATCTTGAAAACTTCATTCTTTGTCATATAGACTTATTTTTGCCATCGATTATCCTCAACATTGTAAATAATTTCAGGATCATTAAGCAGGAGATATTATGTAGGTTGTAGGATGATATCTACATGTACGTATAGCAACTGACTTGCATGAAACTCTTGTACACATCCTCATGAACCTTGGACGTATTCTTTGTTTTATTTTGCGGATATGAGCAGAACTATTATTCTCAATGAGAATACCTAAGTATCTCAATAGTAAGAAATGAGTTGGGTTAAGGTGTGAAAACGTCCATGGTTTGAGGGTGTGTCCAGGACGAACCCTTTCTGAATGGGCTGTGGGTTACTTTCTGTCCTGCCTTGTGTTAGTTCCAGTGTCGCCCTTCTTCTGCTGCTGTACATCTGCTGCCAATCGCCCACGCAGTCATGTGTGAATTTTGTACAATATAAAGTTGAACATTAAACCTGACATTAAATTTCTCTATCTGTGTTTGTATTGACTGTACTGGTTGGATTCCCCGTGGTAAATATACCTTACATTATGCCAAGTTGTAGAACTACATTATATGCAGAAAACAAAATTAGAATATGTAGGCCAAGGTTTGTCATCAGAGTTTGTGAGCAAGACCTCCATCTCTTTGGATTTTCCTCCCAAATCATGTGGATTAACTGACAGATACAAGCAGTTTTTATTTGGCTTGTTTTTTTTGTTAAATGTTCACAGCACTATTTAAGCTATATGTCAAAATCAAGTCTGGACCAGACAATCCTGTGATTGACCTCATGAGCATCTATGTTCACAGTTGGGATCCCATGACATACTACTAACCAATACTGCCTTGCAAACCAATACAAACATGGGTTGCTGAAATCCAGTTCTAACCTGGGTACCTTAGGTCACCATGATCCCTATGTGTGGGAGGCCTGGAATCATTCAGGCTGAATTTGACCATGGTGGTGTGTTGGTGAAAGCCATGGTAAAATGCTGATGATGGATTTAGTTTAACTGTCACCGAGTTCATTTAATTTACATCTCGCCAAACTCAGAGATATATTCCAAATCCACCACTTTCCAGACCACAGTCTGTTGGTACCCTGTCAGTTATTGTGAGTCACCACCTGATGTGCCCCTACTTTCACCCTGCAGGGTCAAATGACGAAAACTTGGAACTCTTACGGCCTTCATCTTATTAGTAGTGGCACAGTTCAAAAACAGGAATTATGCATCAGCTTAAAACTTAATTCAACACTGACTCAAAGTATTAACACAAAACCTTTTTTAATCAAGAAAACAACAAAACATAAACATAAATACAAACAATATGCAGCAAACATCCATTACAGAGATTCTACACTTTCAATTACTGCTGTTACCCATGCTTGGAACTCCCATCTATCATAAATCATGACATTTGAGTTTCCCTTTCACATTAAGCACACAAGAAAAACATTTGCTTGTTATGTTTTCAATACTTATGAAGATCTACCTTCCTGCATGATGCATCTGTGATGCAGAATCCTGACTCACAGGTGTACATTTAATGGTTCACAACACAAACACCCACGTCACACAGGCCTTCATTGGGTTATGATTACAGCAACCCACAGAAATAGGTACGGTACCACCGTGGTAATGTGGAAGAATGACTGAGTAAGTGAGTTTAGTTTTATGCTGCTTTTAGCAATATCACGGCAGGGGACACCAGAAATGGGTTTCACCCATGTGGGGAATCGAAACCCGGGTCTTTGGCGTGACTAGCGACTGCTTTAACCACTAGGCTAACCCACCCCTCCTGTAGAAGAATGGGTTGCAACAATGTAGCAATATTAAAGTGCCACCATCTCAAGCAGTTGTGAGCTAAGGTAAACAAGCAATGCCACTGAATATACTGTGAAGCATTATTATGTAATATCCTTTGCCTTTGAGAACATGCAGTTAGTCATGTGGGTCATGTTTGCTGCACAAACTGTGCCTTCGAATACATAATACTGAGACGTGACAAGGGCCATACAGACAAGGATATGACTCCATTGTAAACGTGTCTTCCCAACCCTTTTGAAAACATGGACTGAAGCAAAATCCCGTGGATATTTGGGAAAAAAGTATATAACTGCACACATTATAACAGCTGGAATGGTTTTGTTTCCTTTCTCATAATTGTGTGAATCTTGTTAAAAGATCTGAGAGAGCAATGGAAACATTTAGCTGGTAACCTCATGTCTGCTTGAATCTTGTTTTAGGATCACGAAGACCATCCAGGTTCTCCAGCGCCTCCTCTACCGGTGCACGTTTGGGGTCTGCTCCAATGGTGAAGTCCGGTTTTCCTGTCCTGTACTTGTCGTAATGATCCACAAACAGGCGACCATCAATCTTACATTCCTGCACAACCGGATCCTTCCACATCCGGGCCACCCAGGCAGTGATGGTTGGGTACTTGGTCTCGTCCATCTTGTAGCCTGCAAACAGAACCATTGGTACCGTCACATTATAGTGTTCTTGGAAATACTAAAATTCATACTACCTGGCTGTGTATGTGTATGAAACATTTATAGCGAGCAAGGGTGTCCCAGTCATAAAGGATCGGCAAAGCTGTATCCATTTGGCAGAAACCTATGATCACTGGTTTGAATCCCAAAACTGGCTTTGATTGTGTTTGAAGGTTTGTTCACAGTCCGGCACAGCGATGACTTAGCATAACATCACTGCCACAGGCTAATTTGCATATCACGTGACTGGACTTTTCTCTTGTTTGTAAACAAACGCACTTATACATAAATCAGAAGAGACTGACCGTATGCAAGCTATTCGGTGCTCTCTTCATATTGTTTTACATTGTTAGATAGATATTCTTCTACAACTGCGACAGTCAAATTTATGACAATACATATTTATACATCAAAGTTTACTGCATCGCTTCCTCTCCACAGAGCATCGATGACAGCACGTGGAGCCGTACAACCTATGTAAACAAAGGATCGCTACGCAAATCGAAATAGTGTTACAGGTTTTTAGATATTTTCTCAGTGAAAGTAAACCATTCTATCAAAGAAGATTAAGTAGATGTGTAGGCTCGTCAAAAATAAAAGCGTTAAGAAATAAATGCAATATATTGAATGGACTGTGCAAGATGTGAGGAATCGTCACAACTCTCTGGCCTGTGGCAGAGGTACTATGCTGGCTGGCCGCATGGAACTCTGGGTAGGAGAGTGGGTTTGTTAACACGATATCTGTGCTCACTGGTTTCACCAGAGTGACAAACAGTACTTAAGGCTTTCCTCAATATGTGAGTGAATATGACATGCAGTGATATAACAGTTTACTATTTGCACAAACATTGCTCCAACCTCACTGATACCCTGAATATTTCTAAGGCACACTGACTATGCTGTATGGATGGAGCCATATAATTTAAGACAGAACATTAGGAGAAAAGACACTTTCAATGGCTTGAAAATGTGCCTTGAAATATTTTTGAGAGGAAAATCATGAAATTACTTGTGTAAATATAGAAATACTTGATGAAAATGACCATGTCACTGGAGGAGGAAGAATAAAATCTATGGCTGCAATGAAAATATTGATTAAATGATATTCATCAACAGCTTGTCACTACAGTCTTATTCATGAGACTGTACCTCTTTGTGCTGGCACTAAAACACAACAGAGTCCAGACAAGTACAAGCTACTACAGACACATTCAGCATGTCACCATATACATTCACTTCAACATGACATGGGGGCGGTGGGGTAGCCTAGTGGTTAAAGCGTTCACTCGTCACGCTGAAGGCCTGGGTTCGATTCCCCACATGGGCACAAAGTGTGAAGCCCATTTCTGGTGTCCCCCTGATATTGCTGGAAGAATATTGCTAACAGCGGCGTAAAACCCAACTCACTCACTCACTCAACATGACATGAACCTCATTTCAAAGCTTGCAGGGACGCCTTCAGGGACCATTCATGAATTATGGCATAAATTTCACTCCCCCGAAACAAATGGATGACAACCCCACCCCAAAAAATCATCATCATCATAAGCATACACACACACACACCACTCCCCAGCCGTAAATTATGAATGGTCCCTTATTACTATCTTGAATGAGAATGTAGATACAGGCATCGTAATATATGGTAATGCTTGCTTGCATTCAAAGGTCAAGTGGGCCCTGAGTAGGACGTCCTCCCTCCCTCCCAAATTTGGTTAAATAATAAACGGTTGTGAAAGACTTGGAGGACTACTGACAAGTTGATCAACCTCTGACTGTCATCCTTACCAGTTATTTGTCCCATCATCGGGATTCTCTCAAACCAAGGCCAGATCATGTAGTCCGGGAAACCAGGTGCGTTGCCATGGAAATATGGAGTGTCAGCTTTCTTCAAGAACTGATCCATAGTTGCCACATGTTCGTTCAGCCTGTTGGTCAGTTCTGGGTCAAGATGGCCAGCTTTCAGAAGACTGTAGAAAGCTGGAATACCCTGTAAAATATATCATGCTTATTACACCAGGGTGGTGGGGTAGCCCAGTGGTCAAACCATTTGCTTGTCATGCCGAAGACCCGGATTCGATCACAACATAGGTACAATGCGTGAAGCCCATTTCTGGTGTCTCCTGCTATGATATTGCTGGAATATTGCTAAAAGGAGCGTAAAACCATACTCACTCACTCACTCTAGTGTCCCCTGACATCAGACTGCTGGACACCAGCCAAAAGTGACGTAAAACAATCCGAATGACTAGCGACATGGGCTACTTTGGTAAAAGCATGTATGAACCAGTTTCAAGAAAATTGAGCCAAACATCAAACATACCACACTGCCTTTTACAGGGACAACAAGACAACTTAGGAAAGTGATTTTGTTTTCAAAGCTAAGATGGAATATTTTCTTTTTGTAAGACAACCTCTCTACACAATCAGTCACATTAAGTTCTCACCTACTGTGATAGTATCTCTATAAAAAAAATTGAGAGGTATTGGTGAATGACTTCATACCTTTTTGGTCCAGTGGTTGAAGTATATCTTCTCCCAGGCACGCTTCATGGGTTCGGAACTGTAAAGGATAGGTGTTGAGAAGGCCTCCTCAAGGTATTCTTCAGAAACGAAATTGAAAGAAAATTAAATGGTTTAAAATGCTGACAGTATTTCTTTTCTATCTGAAGAAGATTATTCCCTAAAATAGTTTAAAAAGAACAACTGATGTTTACAATTCAGCATTATATATTTGACTTTTCTTTTGCAGACACGAGGGTCATACAAGATCTCCAGAACTCAATGCTTTTCAGTAATGGCTGACTAAAATGGAAATGACATGGTCACATGGTATGTTGCACATGCTTGTTAGCTTGACCACTGGCACTATGACAAATGCCTGTAATGTATCATATCCTGACTGACTGAGTTTGGTTTTACGCCGTTATTAGCAATGTTCCAGCAATATCACGGCAGGGGACACCAGAAATGGGCTTCACAAATTGTACCCATGTGGGGAATCGAACCGGGCCTTCGGTGACGACGAAATGATCGCTTTAACCACTAGGCTACCCCACTGCCCGTATCATATCCTGAAAGAGAACCAGCTGTTAACAGGAAGAGCACCGATAAATGACATCTCAGTGACAAATCCTTTAGCACATTATATTGTTGTTTGTTGTTTAATGTTGTACTCTGCAATATTCCAGCTGTATCACAGCGGCCTATAAACAATCAAGTCTAGATAACACAGTGCAGGGATTATCTTCTGAGCAACAGTCTGGGCTGTTGGGGTACGATGGCTTGCAATCAATCAAGTCATCCATTTGTTCACCTAGGTTCGTGGGTACCAATCGACAAAGATTCGAATAATGGCAGGGCCATGAAAGGTATGTGGATTGAGCCACTAACGAGTGAGTGAGTATGGTTTTACGCTGCTTTTAGCAATATTCCAGCAACATCACAGCAGGGTACACCAGAAATGGGCTTCACACATTGTACCCATGTTGGGAATTGAACCCGGGTCTTCGGCGTGACGAGTGAATGTTTTAACCACTGGGCTACCTCACCGCCCTGGATCGGGCCACTAGCCTAGGACATCTCATGATGTAACCACTGTGTACCCATTTAAGTCACCTAAGTCATCTAAAAGACCTCAAACACTTTTCAGACATGACAACACAGAGATGCCATATCCCCTTCAATCATGGAATATGTAACACAAAGATCATACCTGCACAGATCAGCGATTCGTACACATTGTTGCCGTTGTGAATGACAACTGGGACCTCGCCGTAGGGATTATAGTCAAAGAACCAATCAGGTTTGTTGTTCAGGTCAATGTTAATGCAGTTGTATTTAACCCCCTTGGCTGCTAGCACCAACCGGGCTCGCTGCATAAGATAAAAATAAATAACATAAATAAAGTTGGGCACTTTGGTTTGCATTTCATTTTCATAAACAAATAGAAAGAAAAATGTACTTTATAACACTGTATTTTCACATAGCAGTTTTGAGCAAAAGAGTATGAAAGTTGCTGGATAAACACAATACTCTTCAATGCAATGCTAAACCCCACACCTCATTGTGGTCACATCGTGTGGGGTAAGCTGACATTTACATGTCACTGAACATGTATCACTTCTTTGGGTCAGGCAGAGAGACAACTTGAGATTTTTTCCACAGAAGTGTGATCATCAGCTTCAAAAAAAGTCCCAAACACTACACTTTTAAACTGGTCTTCCATGATCCCAAATTCTAGGATCAACATCTTTAACCAGGTAATAAAAATATACATTGCATACCTGTGCATACGGACACATGCGCATACTGTACATGCGTAGTTCAAGACCTTCCTGCAGTGGGTCTGTGGGTTTCCTCAGGGTATCCTCAGTAAGAGCCATTGTTCTGATATTCTGAAACACAGACGAACATTAAGGAGATAACAAATGTGCCAAAGCAGTAGAGCTGTGACGATATATCTTAGTATCGATAATCGTGAACGATAATAATAATAATAATAATGAGAAGTCTTATATGCTTAACACAAACATATATACACAAACATATATACACAAACATATCTCCAGCCAACAAAGCATGCTATACAGAGCTAACACACAAAACATATATACATCACACAAACATGATGAAAAGTCTAATTCTACAACACAAACATATCTTGAGGCTTGCTTTAAATGCATCAAGTGTTGGGACGGTCCTGAGGTTTAATGGCAGACAATTCCATTTGCGTTCAGCAGCAATTTGGAATGATCGTGATCCAAAAGTTTTCATACGGTATGGCAGCAATTTAAGGTGTAGTTGATGAGCAGATCTGAGATCTCTTGCAGGTTCATACACAGCAATGAGATTGTTGAGATAGCCGGGAGCTTGATGATGGATAGTTTTGTAAATGAGAGTCAACAGTTTGAAATCCACTCTTCGTTATTTGAAGCCAGTGTAGTGATCTCAATACTGGTTCTTGTGACGATTCTTGCGGCAGTGTTTTGAATTGTTTGCAGTTTGTATATAGTTTCTTTGGAACATCCAACGAGGAGACTATTGCAGTAGTCCAATCTCGAAAATATGAAAGCTCTCACAAGAGCTGATGTGGCGTCAACAGTCAAAAGGTGGCGAATGGAGCCAATATTCCTTAAATATATCGAAACTTTTTTCGTATCGTAATATGTATCGTTGACCTTAAAATTATTAAATTTCACCAGAAATTGGCGGATATGTCAAAATTTACACTGTTACTTGTTATAAAAGTATACTTTTGAAAGAAAATAACTAAAGATAGCATATCGTGATATGCATCGAATCGAATCGTATCGTTCCAAGATATCGCGATACGTATCGTATCGTGAATTTTCTGTATCGTCACACCTCTACAAAGCAGTAGCTCACCTGGATATGTCGTCACAATATCAACTAAGACAACCACCTAAAAAAGCTGCTGTCAGATTAACAAATTTGAAACAAGTAAATTAATTTATCATATTTCCAGCAATTTTTCCAATATTACAGAAATCATCTTGCTCAGTCTGACAATTACAGAGAGGTTCACAGAGCTTAAAAATGTTTTTTCAGAGGACAAAGTATGGGGAGCCTCACAGTACCTTTTGAGTGGAAGTGTCTAAGTACTGGCCATAACTACTCCAACATGACCAGTGTGCCAGCCATATTTTAAACTGTACTTATAGCTCTTGAACAAATACAGGTGCCATCAACACTGGTGGGAACAAACACTTGAGTGAGTGAGTGAGTGAGTGAGTTTAGTTTTACCCCACTTTTAGCAATATTCCAGCAATATCATGGCGGTGGACACCAGAAATGGGCTTCACACATTGTGCCCATGTGGGGAATCGAACCCTGGTCTTCAGCGTGACGAGCAAACACTTTAACCACTTGGGTACCCCACAGCCCCAACAAACACCTGAAGTTTCAGTGGTTTGATCAAGATGTGTCTCCAAAGAAAAATGATTAGACACAAGACTCACAATTATTTACATATTTTCGGCCACTATCAGCTATTTGATCAAGATTAAGATGACTTAAACAAAATTTGTACCAGTGCCTAGAGACCATCTCGCCCAAAAGTTCCAGGCCACATATCAGCCCTTTAGTTTTGTGGAAGATGATCTTTTAATAACTTAACAGTTAGGTACACTAGCTGAGTAAAATATACAGGCAACCTACCTAATAACTGAGAACATGCTTATATTAGTAGACTTTTCCGAGTGCCGTTAATCTAACTCACTCACTCACCCACTAATGCAGCCGTCCAACACTTTGTCATTTCAGATTATTTGTTTGTTGTTTAACAGCCCATACAGCAATATTCCAGCTTATATGATGGCGGCCTGTAAAATATTGAAGCTGGACCAGACAATCCAGTGATTAACATCATGAGCTATGACCTATGCAATCGGGGTACCATCCTAAATAACCACACACGTTTCCTCAAAGTTGTCGGAAGGTGTACATTGGTAATGTCATGATACAATTAACGTTGTCACAACATTGGTAATACGCCATTTTATAACGTTATTTCATAACGTTACATCGTGACGTCAATACAGTGTGACATAAATTATAATGCAAAAAACGTACATCAGTCGGCACCTTTGATCTTTTAGCGTTGCATAGATATTGTCAAAACGTCATGTACTTTACTATTACTCGACTATTACTCAAGGTTATGTTTGACTACCCGATCCCGTCAGTCGCCCCGACGTCGTTTCAGGAACGTGTCGCCCCGTAGTCGGGTACATTCTCACTGATCCTGCGAAATATAACAGTGTGACAGCGCAGCCACAATACTCCGTTGCTTACACCTACCTTCTAATGTGATCTCCCCGAATGTTGTGTGCGCAGTCCACAGCAGCCCAGCTATATATACACATTGAATCTGTTGTGAACCCAACACTCCCGGAACTAAGCTTCCGTTTCGTTCCGACCTTCACCTAACTGTCTATTCCGGTTCGAGATATGCTCTTCTTGAATGCCTTCCAACTCCTTGTGAATAATTTGCATGGGGCAATTTTGCGACATGTACACGTACAAGTATATTAGGTATCACCATTACACCGTAATGCCATAAACCCCAGGTTCAATAATGCAATTTTGGTGAAAATATTAGCGTTGAGGATTTCTCGTTCACATTCCAGAATGATATTCCGGTTTCAGAAGAAAGACACCGGTTCGTAGTTTTCATTGGATTTGTTGATCGATTGCCTTTTCCGAGAAAGTGCTCGATTCTGAGAATCCGGTTTTAAAGCCCATCTCATCGTGACTAGACAAAGAATATTGTTTATTACTAGAACCCTTACGTAAGTCTTTCCTGTCAACATAATGGAATAACAAAACATCACGGCTCTAACACATTATGTACCCTGCATGGTAACAAAAGAAAAATAATAAATGTCGCATAATGCTGTTCCCGTTAGTGGCGTTACAGATATACTGCCACTTCCCACTTACATAAGTTGTTTTAGACATATCGTTCTTCGGGTCTTTGGTACCTGTCAGCTCGATATAATATATGAACATAGTTAACCATCGGCACGCTCAACTTCAGCAAATAATCAACACTTATAGGAGCAAATAATGGCCGATTAAAATTATTCCACACAAAGGCAGCAGGGTATGTGATTTCTGAATAAGGTGAGATGGTGTCGGATTTAACGTCGCGTGCACATGTTTGTGTGCGTGCGTCCGTCCGTGCGCGTGAGCTGCTTATACTTATCCCGACAAATACCAGGTTTTAAGTGCCAGCCAACAAAGATGTCATGTCGCAGGTTAGCATGGATATACGTGTGTGTGTGTGTGTGTGTGTGTGAGAGAGAGAGATATATATCCAAAACTGTGTTCCACAGGAGATACTGTTTAAGCCTCGGATATTTGTAACTTTATCAACTCGTGGCGATATATTTGGATATCAAAAGACAATCGGGTGAGATTCTATATGTATCTACATTTTGTTATAATAGATACACAGGAATGGAAATAAAATACAGAGGGTATTGGAGTTTCATACTCATTGCTGTCTTATTGAATACTAGATTTGATATGTGCTGTTAAATGACGGAGCGTGCATACACTCCCCGAGACTGTCGGAATGTCCAAATAATATTTGGGGATGAATTTCATGTCATGGTGACAATGGTTTCAAAAGGAGCTTCAAATTAACAGACGAAGCTTTCTCATTAAAATCATATCTTGATCTCGCTTCCACGATGTGCGAGTTTAAGGAGACTGGCAGACAAAGACAAATTAATATTGACCTGACAGGGGAGGATAAAAGATAGAAGAGAAAGGGTCGAACCATCTCATATCGTAATTTTAAGCTTTATATCTTGGAAACATCAATTCTTGACAAAAGAAATAATCAGGGAGCAGGCGCGTGTTACAAAAGTTTCTTGTACAAAACTGGGATGAACGTATACAGAAAAGATCAAATGTGTGAATGTAGTTCTTACAGCATGAAAAGTGCGAGCCCATCTTGCATACACGACTAGTGTAAACACACATGAATGTGTGATGCATTGATTGTATAAGCGGTAATACAACAACCCCATGGGTACAAAACATAACATTCCTTTTGTCTGAAGTTTGTACAAACCACAAACATGTTAAACACAGATTAATATCTTATGTCTGATAGTATTTGACTGTATGAAACTATATACGAATCATAATAATTTCAGACCGTTTTGGGTGCCTTGGAAACATAAATATAAGTGATAACTGGCTGTTATTTCTCAACCAACTTAATTACATTCTGAAATGTATGTTAATCTGATGATAAAAACTGCCAAAATTACGAATCGACACTCTGACAGTTTCACTTGGAAAAGGCACTAACAACAACACCCTACAAACCTAAACTGATATCCGACCTAATTCAGATAAATACCCCGAGGTCAACGATCTCGTGATAGTCAAATCGAAAGTTGTTACGGAAACGGTAGCGGTATGCATTGCTTGGCGACGTCAGAGTTATTTGCCCCTGTACTTGTGACCTTGGATCGCGACATGGCTGCACGAAGAGTACCAGGGACATTGCGACTCTTTGGGTGAGGATGACATCAGTTTCGACGCGACAGCTTTCAAACATTTTGCATGCCAGTTGCTGCTTGTAAAGCAGATCTTGTTCTATTTAGGTGATATTTCTTCCATGAATACGAGTTCATGTTCGTGTTATTCGCTGTCGGTTCAAGTTCAACACTGGTTCGGCCAACACTGAAATGAAACGCTGAGTCTGACATGGTATGGTGGCATCAAGCTGTACGTGAACTGCAAGCAACAACCGTGACACTGAAACTGTTTGAAAGAATTCAATTTTATTCACCCTCTTAACGTTTGAAAGAATTCCACCCACAATTGGATGTTTTTCATTACTTCCTTGAATGTCCATTGTATACTATTCATAGCCAAACTGTTACAATCTTTAGAAAGTGTTGTTAAAAGTAGAACACTGATTGGTCTTAAGTTTATCTTACATGTCAATGCAGGTGTCTCATTTACTGAAAATCAGAATGTTTTCAAATATGTACATATCTAAATCTCTCTCTCAAAATGTTTTCTCAGTTAACTTCTATTGTACATATCCTATTATTGGGAGAGGGCTTTTCTATCAATAAACACAATCAAACCTCTCAGTGAGAAACCTATTTACATATCCGATAGTAATTGATAGTAAAAGCAATTCAGAAAAGAGAAATCATTTATCATTTAATCACAACAAAGTTCTATTTACACACAATCAAACTTCTCAGTAAGTTCAGGCTCACCCTACTCTACTCACTAGACAGTGGACTAGTGTACCTGTAGGTGTTACCCTAATTAACCTTCTAGTTCAGTGTCTGTCAATTGGGTGTCTGTCAAATGGGTGTCTGTTAATTGGGAGATAACCACGGAATCCTGGGAGTTGGAATGAATGAGTTTGGCAAAGTTACCTAACCCTAACCATAATCATTAAACTAACCCTAATGAAGATAGTAATGGATATCCAATGGCTAAAAAATTAGGTACACTAAGATAGTTAAGTACAAAAAACTCGAGTTGAGTTGCGCATAGTTTTTGCACATGTCTAAAGTTATCAAAGATGGCGGAAGGCATCCAGTATTCTGTAGTCTTGTTACATGAAATTGTATTTACCATCTTCACGGCCCTATGGGAGTTTATTGGACAGATGTTCCAGGTTTTCAACACAGGTATTATGGTTACTGTTGTATCTATTATTCTATTTATTCCTTCCTTTTTTCTATATTTGTTTATTCATTATGTTGAAGCCATAGATTGATGTATGTGGTAATGTTTCAGAGTACGCTACATGAGCGGAGAATGGGGATCTGGAGCAGGCAAGGTAAGCATAATGTCTGGGTCCATTTTGACTCCAAGAATAAAAATACCTATTAATCCAATTTCCCTTTTGAAAATCTCCTGCGCAGGGGTTATGGAAGGAACTGTTACCTTTCTAGCTGTTTAAAGAGGGAAGGTACAACTTGAAAATACATTCCTGTGTATTGTGCATTTTAGATGATTAAATTCATTATCTTAATCTAAAGCTTAGTAATTTATTAAACCATGACTGTATGAATAAGTAATTTCTTTCTGCATTGTTTGCTGAAGATGTTACTCATACAATATGGTATACAACACATGCCGATTGAGTTTCATTGACTCATGCAGTGATTGAGTTTGCTGATTCATTTTGTAGATGTGCTTAAAGGGGGTTTCTTAATTCATGTTTCTCTTTGAATCATCACCCATCAACATTATCATGGCAGAAATTTACTTGTTGGCATAATAAAGCCTTCTGGTATCTCAGACTTCATCCATGGATTTAGAAATGTGTGCTTTTCTGCTCCAAAGATATCAATTCCACTTATGTTATTTTTGAAATTTACAAGAAGAGCTGTTGTCAGTATGTCTCTAATACCAACTATGTAGTTAATCGGCAATGTGTTTCAGGGCGGTGGATCAGGCGGCAGTGTCAGGTAACCATGACAACTTACCTTTATACTTCTTTGTAAAGTTTAAGAGTAAGTTTAAGGATAAAGAAAGATTGAAGAAATAGTGGACTTTTTAATACATTTCTTGGTTATTATTTTATGAAAAGTTCTTTTCAAGCCAAACAATGTGAACATGGTTTGTCTGCAGAGATGCTGGTGGTAGTTTTGGCAAGATGGAAGCGGCACAAGAAGAGCAGTATTTCCGCAAACTGGTGAGGAAATGGTTTATGTCTGTAGTTATGTGTACAATATGTGTTTCTATACAGCAGGGTTTGATAACTGGTCAGAATGGATTTACATGTCATAATAAATATTTATTCAGAATATGTATGGATTAGTGACCCACAGATTGTCTTTTAAATCATTTCTTGTAGACTTGTTGGATGTAACATACAGAGACATTGTTGTCAGTATGGGGGGCGGTGGGGTAGTCTAGTGGTTAAAGCGTTGGCTCGTCACGCCAAAGACCCGGGTTCGAATCCCCACATGGGTACAATGAGTGAAGCCCATTACTGGTGTTCCCCGCCGTGATATTGCTGGAATATTGCTAAAAGCGGCGTAAAACCAAACTCAGTCAGTCAGTCAGTTGTCAGTATGGTAAGTAGGATGAACAGCCTTAGCAGAACTACTTTCTACCTGATGGCTACTATCAAAGCAGTGATAAATGTCACAACTTGTATATACAAACTTTTGTTTTGCTGTATAATTATATATATTCATGTGAATAACAGTTTCTTTCATATTCTAGAGAAGCGTTCTGCAGCTTAGAATTTTCATGCCTGCAGACATGCTCTAGTTCATGTCCATGGACATGAAATATGTTTGCATTTTCATATGACCAGCACTTGGAATCACTCAAGAAGCATCAACTATATAAAACAAATTCAAATTCTGGTAGATGTTAGGTCCCTAGCTGAGTGTTTAATGCTTGTCCTCAGTGCTGACTGAAGTGGTAGTTAGTGTTACAATGGTAGGCTAATGTCACAGTTGGCAGCTGTTGAAAATGGAAGCTGATGTCACAGTGATAGTTGGTGTCAGAGAAAAGGCTGTTGACAGTGGTAGCTGATGTCAGTGATAGTTGGTGTCAGAGAAAAGGCTGTTGACAATGGTAGCTGATGTCACAATGGCAGCTGTTAACAGTGGTAACTGTTGTGACTGGAACAGGAACACCTGTTGAAACAATGGTAGCTCTAGTCACCTCCACTCAGTCTCTGAAAACAAACTTTTTGGCATTAATAAGTGCGTCTTTTGTCAAGATTTGTAGCATCCAAGGTTCTTATCACTGGAATGAATGTATCACAGCTGAAATACACCTGCAGTACTGTTGTGATACAAGGAAGTGAGTTAATACCTGGTAGTTTATGTCATATCGGCAGTATTTCAGCCATAGAGTGACAAAGTTGTGATGCAACTGTGATAGAGCTGTGTGAACCACTACATGTCTCCACTGTTTAGAGACAGGCTGTATAATGATGTAAAGGACATGATGTACAATGTGTGTGTTTCTCCATCGTAAATGCAGCAAAAGGTTCAGCTGGAAAAAATGAAGGACATGATGGAGGATGAAGTCGAATTTCACTCCAAACAAATAAAAATGCACAAGGTTTGACCATAAAGAGAAAGCATTAGGGCATCAACATCCCACTGGAACAACTGACTTCTGGGCAGTGTCATCAGGGATAGCCCTTGTCACGCAGGTTCACTAAATAACTGAAAGAAATTGGTTTTGAAATAACATTTTGTTGGAGCATTTTTTGAAAGGGTAAAACAGAAAATTTTGAAAATTATCCCTTACTGGTTAATAATGAAGGTGTTCTGTGAGCCTGCTCTGACCATGTGCAAGTTGTGAAGGTGGATTTGATTGCTTTGATGTAATTAGTTGGTTGCTGCTTCTCTGCCATCTAGCATGGACCCACTGCTGCATGTTCAGATGTGCATTCCACTCAATCGGTATCTTGGATTCTTTCAGCCTTGTGGAAGGGAAAAAAACGCATATTTTCCATAATGGGAAGTTATCTATGTAATTCGTTTTTGGCGTCTATTAGTTCTAACCATTCTAACTGAAAGCATCCCAGGAGGCTCAGTATTGAGCAGGGTTCACATCCTAGTCTGTGGTCGATGGTCCTTTGTTAATGTGTCTTCTCTGCCATCTGCCAGCAAGCTGCTCAGCTGAGTGCCCTACATGACCATCTGGATGAGGAGATCAAACACCACCAGAAGCAGATTAACAATCACAAGGTAGACTAGGCTAAGCATCACCGGAGAGAGCAATGAAATCAGTTAGGGGGACAGTAGAAGCAGATTAACAATCACAAGGTAGACTAGGCTAAGCATCACCGGAGAGAGCAATGAAATCAGTTAGAGGGACAGTAGTATATTAAGTTGGAGAAACAACGTAATAATAACAGGTTGTTGGGACAGTAGTAAAATACATTAAAGAAACAGTAGTATAAGAAGTTGTGGGGAAAGTAGTATTGTACACACAGTAGTATAATGTTGGGAGAATAGTAGTGTAGTAAGTTGTGGGGATGGAAGTTGTGTAAGTTTGAGGAACAGTTGTAAAGTTGGGGGTAAGAAGTAAAATAATATGAAGTTGGAGGGGAGGGCCTCCAGTAACAATTCATTGATAGGAAAAACATGTTGGCACAGAAAAGTAAGAGTTGGCTGCACATCGCAGTGATAAGTTGGAGAGATAATAGTATGAAAAGGTGGGAAGTCATGTAGTAATAATACTGTGGAGGGCCATAGTTATAAAAGGTTGGGTGCAAAGTCCTGTCAAAGGTAGCAATATCAACCCATTCACTCGCTCACTTGAAATGTTCAATCTTCTGTCATACTGCAACTACTTTGCATGTTCAGTTATATCTTTTGTATTATTTTCTTCTTAGTCAGCTATTTATCAAACTAATACAGATATCAACTAAGAATGCCTAACATGTTTAACAACTCTAGTGGGAGTACTTTTCTTCTACTTTAAAATTTGGCTTGAAAATTAATAATGGTCTCATACCATGGCCTGCTTGTTCCACGTCCACAAGGCATGTCTGTAACATTCTTTAATCCAGTCGTTCCAAGCAATGATGACACTTTACTCTTTGGCAATTTGCTTCCTTCTGAGTATCTGCTAGCGGGATGACATATTTATATTTTAAAACCTGACATATTTATGCATGTTACTTTCTCCTAATCATGCAAATGATCACAATTAATATTTGTCCGCTGACATGCATGGATGGTAAGGTGAACTGAAATATGACAGTGGTCTTGGGATAAGCTAAGGACATCTGTAGGGAGGTTTGGCAGCATTGAGATCAATTTGAAGTAGATAGTTGGATGTATAAAGACATTGACAAATCTTTTCTGTTTGTTTCTTTTATATTTGCTTTATATTGTATCAATATAAAAAGCTATATTGAATCTGTCCATACAACCATCAGGATCCTTTGATACCCCCTTTCCAGCATAATTGTAGACTAAATCTCAAATGTGTGTCAGGTGTTATTACTTTTTATCATGGGCAAGTATTTAACACAAGCCTCCATTCACTCAGTGGTGAATGGGTACCCGATAGGATGAGATTGTAATTGTTACTGTCAACAGGCACCTGGCAGTGATGTACAAGAGGATACTGGTACACACCTTGCATCATTTGCTCAAGCTTTATTCATTATCCTGACTAGCGAGGATTAAGCTATCTGGTTAGGCATTTATAAAGGGGGCGCCTCAGTGATTCCAATCTTCAGATGAAGTGAAACTTATGTAGTTCAGACAAACCAGCGGTCTGATGTGAAGTTTGCTATAACCAATTTGACCATTGACATTAAAAATTGTTGATAAAAAAAATACATAAGAAGGGGAGTTACATTGCACTACTGTTTTTTATGAACCAATTTGGTAACCAACAACAATTCCTGAAATCCATGGTTACTGTGTGTCATTCACTTAGATACCCCTAACGTCCATGGACAAAGAACATCCACATCTTCATAGCTTATTTATACATAAAGAACATTTTATTGTTGAACGAAGTCAGACTTTAATTAAATGCAAAAACAACTTTATAAATGTGACACATTGGCAGTTTTGAACCATTTTATTAAATTGGTCCCTTGTTGGCTGGAAATATGCTACTGTTGTCAGTAGGAGTTCAATATTTGCAATGCAGGAAGGTCCTGGGTTCCAAGACAGTATTTCATTTTTTTAAACTAGGAAATTGTAAATCTATATAATATGTCTACAGACAAGGCTCCTTTGACTTTTGGCTAAATTTTGAAGACTGGTTAAAGTTGTCTTTTAAAAGTTGATGTTTTCCTTTTTCAGGACGCCATTGAGAGGCACAAGAAGAAGATATCTCAGTTAAAAGATGCAGGGGACAAGTAGTTCCACTGAAGGGATAAATACATCAATCTATAGTACAATGCTGGAAGAAACTGTGTCAAATTCAAGATCAGTACAACAGAAGCCATATCATGGGAAAATGAAAACATCTGTCATTGGGAAAAATATATGGAGGCATTGTCAGTTTTTTGTAAATTATCAGAAGTGATTATTTGATAGTTTGAGTCAGAAGTCCTGATTTAAATGTTAGATATCCAAGAGTGTGTGTATTTGTGTTCTCCTTGAGGATGTGTGTATGACTGCCCACTGTGGTTGTATGGCATTACAGAGTTCTGTGCCTCAACTAGGAAACAATTCAATAATAAATTTCACTGCAAATTTGATTGTTTTCTCTCTTTTTTTAAATAATCCTTTGCCAAAGGTTTTCTTTTGGCATATTAAAAGTTAAAAAAGACTTGGTTGACAGTTTCATCAAAGCGGATGTAATGTGAATGGAAGAAAGATATTGTTGGTGCAAACAAGCATGGCCATTTCACTGTTTTCTTCAGAAAACAAGACGTTTTTTGTGTTCACTATACTGGAAATGCATGAACAAAGAACTGAAAAAATAGTCAGATTTAATGAGTTTTCATCAAAGCATTCCATGAGTTCTCTTCTCCTGGTCAATTATTTCTGTATTGTAGAAGTGGAATTCTGGTCTGTCAACCAGCCTTATACAGAAACAACTGGTTCTTTGTCAAATCTGTGCCCTTTTTTTTAACATTTTGAAAATAGGTGGTAGTCACTTAGCGCCGGATGAATGACTAGAATGAAATTTAAGGGGAGAGCCGGGCGGTAAGACTTCGCCCGTACCACCCCCCACCCCGTAAATTTTAACGATGAGGAAAACTTTCTTTGAGAGGTATTTTTAGAAGTACAATATGTCTTTCAGTATGTTCAGATACAATGAAAGAAACATGTTAAAACTCATCCTTATCAGGTGAGGAATATATGATCAGGTTATATGATTTGACTAGAATGAAATTTAAGGGGGATACGGGCGGATGTCTTTCCGAAAAACTCATGTTTTTCCACGAGAAGTTTTATGTACGTGTTGAAACCCTATCATTGCAAAAATACAGGGGGTGCTTAATTAAGTTCTTTGCGTATAGTATGAATATTTATAGAGATTACCCTCCTCAGCATATTTAGTAAATGTTTTACTTGTATCATGAATGAAAGACTAGTTCTATGGGCAGATACATTAAATGAAGAGCAAGCGGGGTTCAGAGAAGGATACTCAACAGTTGACAATATCTTTATTCATCAAAAAATTGTACAAAATTAAAGGTGGTAAAGCTATGCTCTTTTTGTAGATTTCTCGAAAGCATTTGACTCGTAAATAGAAATAGTCTATGGAATCTTTTATGAATGCTTGGTTTAAATAGGAAAATGAACAAACTATTATGTAGCATTTATGAAAATGTAAAGGTATCTGTAAGAAATAGTAATGATGTTTCAAAAAAGCTCACAAGCCAGCTACGCGTAAGACAGGACTGTATTTTAAGTCCTCTGTTTAGTCCATTCATAAATGAAGTTAGCAACTCCAATTCATGAAAATTGCAATCATGGCATCCAGCTACATCCTCATATTTCGCAGCTGTTTTTGCTTTAATTTACAAATGTTATCGTGTTATTTTCCAGTACTGTTAATGGTCTACAGAGACAAATTGTGATAAACAAAGATATAACGAAAGTTTTAGCTTTTAAAAATGGTGGGGAAATATCGGGTAAAGAAAAAAGAAATTTTCAAAGGAAAACTTTTAGAAATAAGAACGGTCTGTAGACACTCTAAACAGGAAGCCATACAAGCTCAGAAGTTTTTTTATGTGTATCTATAAGCAGTTAAATGTGTTAGGAAATGATCCATTTAAAATATTTGATGTTAAATAATAGCTTACAACATATGATGTCTGTGGCTTACAGCATTTGATGTCGTAGAAAAAAATCATTTATATGTCTTAAAAGATTTGTGGTAGAGTCTCAATGTATATGATGTGGGTGTGGGGTGTGTGTGTAGGTGTTCACTTATTTTGCTTATAAATTTTAGGGGGGTGGGATCATTCACACTGTACATGACTCTCGGGTACTGTAATGAGATCCAGCTTGCAGTCATACGGAACCCAACCCCAAACCAAGAGGCGCTGGCAACATCGCATTTGGATACGATTTCAGTGGTGTTTTGACAACACGTTTGTGAAACATTTATCTGAACCTAAATAAGCTCCGATTGCGAAAAAGATGAAGTGTTTTCTTTACACTATAGGATGTAATGGGAAATTATTTTCGGTCTTTGAAAGCATGTATACTTCTGTAAAGGCTTGTACATGTATTAAAACCCAGTTTGGTAAAAGAGTTAGCATCATGTAGTGTGTGCCAGGGATGTCCAATAAGCCCGAGTTTGTTTCCTTTCTGTATAAATGAGCTTGTTACAGAAATATATAATGCCAATGTGGTGTGTTTGGTACTGAAAACAGTAGACTCGATACCGCTCTTATTTGCTGGCGATATTGTTGTTTCCATACTCTTAGTGTCTGAATTGACCGTTTTGTATTCTTTCTGTAAGAAATAGGGTGTTGATGTTAACTTATCAATAGTAAAATCTCAAATCAAATATAATTGTTTTAAGAAATTGAGGTATCATTGTCAACAGGAAAGTGGACATGTTAATATATAGTATTCCTGTAAAAAGCGTCACTTACTACAAATGTGTAGTTTTTGCTTATGTCATCTCAATTATCATGACAGTTCTGCTGCAAACAGCAAAGTCATGCAATTGTCAAAGGCGACTATACCTATCTATACTTTCATCCAACAGAGTGACACTCAGTGGTGTGCTACATGTATTTGTGACGGAAAGATTGCGCTTATATTATTATGTGGGACGGATACAATTTAACGAAGCTATTGAAAAAGTACACGTTTTTTATATTGAACTTATTTTTATGACTTTTAATTTATGCTTCGAATTTGCCGATTCTAAGCGATACTGGTCGTTATCCTATCCACATATTAAGTAAAATGATAGGGGTAAGGTACTGGCTAAAATCAGTCATGCCTGTGGCCAAATGTTACGCGTGGGGCTTCAGAAACCGCCCCGTTCTGTGCCTCCGTGTGACTTCCATGACAAAGCTGTGGGGAGACCATCTTGGAGTCGAGAGAAGTTTAATACGGGACCAGGTAAAATCACTTCCAAAAACGACAAACCTGTACTAGTGTAGAAGTGGATTATGTCGACAAATACTACAAACCTTACTAGGTTCAGAAAATATTAATCATCCGTCATGTTTGAGAAACAGACGGAATTATTGAGTTTAGGTCTTATTGAGATGGAATGTGGTCCCTGGCTGGCGCTCGGCATTAATAGGTACAACAGGGACTGGTCGGCTCTGAGTCAGTATAATGTGTCTGAGTGGGGTATCCATGCTTCACTGCGGCATGGTATCTCAGTGGACTAGTACTATAAAACCAACTTCAGTCTGGGCTAGTACAAGCAGCCGCACATACACATACACACGCATGCACATCGTCATATGAGCGAAATATTCTGAAGTACGACGTTAAACCCAATTTCACCTCACCTCACCTTGATGGAATGTAGTGTCTGTATTTGAGGATAATGTTCCGACGTCAAGTGGTCCGTCCATCCACCCACCAGTAGGTAACATTTACAGTATCGTTTACATAAAGCGTTCGCTCGTCACGCCGAAGACCCGGGTTCGATTCCCCATATGGGTACGATGTGTGAAGCCCATTTCTGGTGTCTGCCGCCGTGATATTACTGGTATATATATACTGCTAAAGGCGGCGTAAAACTACACTCATCCAGTCACTGTCAATGCTATATTAACGATTATGTTTTTGTCAAATCACAGCATTTTTTGCATCATGATGAAGTTTGACCTGAAGTTTAATTGCCGTAAGCGGAACAAAATATTATATGTGTAAGGATCTGGTTTGGTTTATTATATCAAGTGATATCATTTGGGCGTAGAGTATTTGAAACTAAAAGGCAGATAAGTACAGGTGATTAAAGGGCTGATAATTACAGGTGCCTTGTCACATGTTTCGAAGGTCACGTGGCGACATGCATGGTCGTCAGGTAAGTTCGTATGTTCGTCTTCATGAGAGCGCATATAAAACGTCTATCTCATCTCAAGTCAACTCAATTCAACCAATCTTCATAGAATAAAGATATGACGTCGCTCTCTGATATTCATCGTTCGTTCGTTCGTTCGTTAGTTATAACAATATGGGTACATGTTTAATTTTGCGTTGGCGTTTGTCCTTCACTTGGGCGTTTTACTCCTGACACCCACGTGTTTATGAAACTAAAACTGACACAAGCAGATGTCAAATGATTTTTTATATCGTTATCCATTCAATATAAAGAAATCTCTTTCCATAAATGACAGAATTGATTATTATCCATGACGTTAAACAACCTCTGTAGATGTATTTTGAATAATGTTGCATTATTAACACAGTACTAAATTTATTTTCAAATGTAATGGGGATACTGAAAAAATAACACTACTTTGGTTGACGTCATGACTTGTTTTGTCCTTGGCCACGTTGGAGAATGACGTCAATGGTATTTACCGAATTTTGGCTCAAAGTATGACATGGCATGGTTTATATTTATATCGATACAATTCTTGCAGAAATACTAACAGTTAACAGTTTAATATTCTGTCATCACAATATATTATTTAGCACAAAAACCCATCATTGATGATAGACTACAAGACGAATAAATGGTTAAAAGTTTGTGACAAAGGCGCACCTAGCGAATCATTAGATATTATTGTTCTGTCGGTAAGACGACATTCATAATTCCATGACCAAACACAATTCCTTTTGTTAAGTCGACAATTTATCATTTTCTTAAAGTAAAGTGTTACCTAAAAGCTTAAAATAAATCGCTGCTCACTAATCTGTTTATATGAGATGACTACTGAATATTACACATGATAAGAACTACGCATATGTTGCAGTTATGTCTACGTTTATTCTTCTAAAACTTGAAAGAATCCAGAGTTGCAGACTTGAGTATCAGGTCCAGTGACTACATGACACAGGTGTTGATAAATGTTGAACGAATCGGGGAAATGCGACCATAAATAATGATGTAAGGATTAATCAAGCATTTATCAACAGTGATTGGATTAAATGTAAAGTCAAAAATAGCCTTATAGATCTTTTTATACAAAAATAACATTCAGATGTTGAAGCATCATCAAAGGGTATATTTTATAAGGCTGTAAAAACCAAAACTGATATTGATTTTTATTTGCAACACCCACCTGTAGAATATATATAAAGTTTGTTACATTTTA